GAGACATACCATCCGCCGTAGACGGAGGCCTTAGGCATCATCCAAATGGCTGGCCATAAGTTCTTGCCTTTCGGGAGCTTAGCTCTGGCCTCGAATTTGCCGAAAGTCCACGACTTCTTGGATGTGAGTCGGGCTGACGTGAACTGTCGTCCCCCCTGATCGTGCACTTTGGCGTTGATGGTCAGCGATCCCCCCTCCACCCGGGCGTTGTCTTTCACGTGTTTCGTGTAGTACTCCAACTCATTATTACCCCAACCTTTCACACAAATACACCAAATGGTTAGCTATTTGTTGAGGTGTCTGTCAATTGCGAGAAATGGTGGCACACTTACCTCCGCCGCCTTCCTCGTAGTTCCACTCGGCGTCACTCAACTCAGTGCCGTTGAAGTCATCGGACCAGACCAACTGCCAGTCCGCCTGTGCCCCCAACACACCCAATGCCAATATTAGTGCCGATAAATACATGTTATTGATTTGTTTTAAGTCAATAATAAATGCACACTGAATCAATTTGCAAAATGTTTCGCTTTTATATATTATAGGAAAACGGAATTCACTTTATATGTTATCTCCCCTTATATGGAAAAGTTATATAAAAAATCACTCTCTTTTCCTATCAATGTTTTTGTGTTAAGTATTATATAAAATTAATCGACTTTTTAGTGATTTGTGATAATTCAGTATTCAATTAAGTCCGGGTGTGAAAAGTAGCATATTTTTGTGCGAAAATAATCTCTTACTTGAGTTAATCAATGCTCTCCCGGACTCTTATATCTCTATTATTCGCAAAATGCTCTCAAAAATAATTAACATTTAATAATAAAATAAACAGATACGCTATGCCAATTTGTTCAGGTACAATAGGACTCTTATTTTGCACAATACATTACCTGTACAATAAGTTATTGTCAATAATAATTATTTTGCGAATATTTGTTCATATGTGATATGAATGTAAAAGCAATCTTTTAATTTCGACTACAAATCGCGTCAATCATAGCATTTATTCAATAAATGTTTTGTTATAATAAATATTCAATTCTTCACATGTCATGCAAGTGTCACGAATAAATGCATTCAAAATGAAACTAAATTATTTGTCACAAAAAGGTTGACTTTTCATAACAAATCATTTGATTGATTTTAAGCATAAAATAGCCCAAAAATAAGCATGCATCCAAACGATTATTTACCATAATTATTTTGTTCATAATGATTTTGAATCCAATAAATGCGTCTATTTAATAACATAAGCAATTGTAATTGATTTCTAGTACTTTACCTGGTTCTCCTGACTTAAGAAATAATCCAGATTAATCATTACTTTTGCTATATTACTTAGTTTTCTAATTAATTTCAAAATTTTCTATAATATTTTTAACTCATATAAAATATTATTGAATTTGTGTATGAGTTTTGAGAAAGTGATTATAAAATGCTTAAAAAATCAAAACTTTATCTAATTATGAATGCATTTGATTGACAGGACGACCGATGAATTCCGGTTCTGTTGTCTGGCCCGACACGTGGAGACCTGCTATCCGGCGCCCGAGAGCCTCGAGTTCTCCTCGTGCGAGGATCTCATGTCAAACTCCATACTCCGGGTCTGCATTTGGGTGTTGGGAGTGGTGGCCCTCGTGGGCAATATAACTGTGATATTATGGCGAACCAAATACAGGATCACCAACAAAGTGCACTCCTTTCTCATCATAAACCTGGCGCTGGGAGACCTACTTATGGGCATATATATGCTCATTATCGCCGGTGTCGACGCTTACTATCGGTAATGAACACTCATTCTCTCTCATAAGCTTTTAATCCTTATTTAATAACGAAATTTTGATTTTGATTTCGTTTTATTTTTCAATTCATTGGATATTCTGTGCCTCATGTCTATAATGTTTGAAATTAGATAAATACTTGTGTCATACAAATAAAAGTAGCTTTGTTTCGCAACATTTCGCACAGGATTTCAAGCAATAATTTACGACATTTACTCTAATTAAGGCATTTATATAATACTTATACAAAGTATTTATAAATTTTTTATATTACATGTTTTTTTTGTAAATTTATTTTGTAATAGAAATGAGAACTTTATTTTAATTATGGAAAATATTTGAATTTTGAAATACAGTATTAGGATTAATATAAATTCTTATTTTAGTTATTTTTGGTGTCAGTAAAAATACTTCATATAATAATCGATGGGTTATTTCGCTTTTTATGACAAAATTACTTTTGATTAAGTACTGTATGTATTGTGAAACAATTTCACATATTTGATCGTTCACTCATTTTTCATATTTTTTTGAACCAAAAAAGACTAAAACAAAAATTCTTTATCAAACCAAAAGTGAAACACGAGATTAAAATTAAAATACACGCCAAATGTTACGCTTCTCATAGTTATAATTAAATTGTTTACGCTCTCGGAAAAATACAAATACAGTAGTTTGTTATATAGTATCATAAAATATTTTTACTAGTAAATCAATAATAAAGCAAACAACAAATTTTAATGAAGAATCTATGTTTTTATGGTGTTTGCCCAACACTTATAAGTATAATAACTTATTACTAATTCTGTATTTTGTTTGCGGGGCTCGAGAGGTACGGCAACACACTTAAGTAAACCGATATAAGTCTGAGACGAGTAAACAGTTTAAGACTAACTGTGTGTCTAAATAATGATGAATTTGATGTGACAACCGATCCATTGCGAGCCATTTATAACACAAATATTGATTGAACACAAAAATTAATATTGTATTTGGCTTATGATCTTCACATCACAGACTAAGAAGTGATACATCTTTCACAATGCAATGCATTTCAATAGAAATCCATTTTGCGATGCTTTTAAAAATAATGGTTTCCTTTTATGTTTTCATTTTTCTGGATTAATGTCTTGATGTAATATATATTCTCTTAGTTTTGTTCAGTATCAAATTAATTCGTTTACTCCAATTTTGTGAAATAATTTATTTACGAAATGGCAAACCATTAAAAGACTTATCGAAACCATTTTGCACTGATTTTCCAATGAATTACAATGTCTTTCGTTTATAGTCCCATTAGTCCTCAAACTTAATTATACGTGCATTTGATTTGAATGGCCTCTCAATTGATTTATTGTAATAAATCATTTCAATAATCACTTCAATTATTCTTTCTTTAGAAAATTGTTGAAAATAACAAAAAATTATTTTAACTAACATTTAGTTTAATATTTAAAGCGTTCATTATTTAGCATTAAAGTGAAAGTCATTTATTTTACAATAAAAAAGTTTGCGCAAAAACTCTTTGCAGATAAACACCATTTGTTTAATGAAAAATTTAGTTAATCTTTTACATTATTTAAAGACTGATTTTATGTTTTGATCAGAAAATAGCTTTCATTAAATGAAAAACACAATCAGGACAGGTTAGTGTTTTAGTCGGAATAATATACAGTACATGTATTTGTATATTTTACAAATTCTTTGTATAAAACTTATTTAATAGCATAAAGATATAGTAATGAAACAAAATAAGATTAAATATATGTTAAGTTTATAGTACAGTACAGTTAGACTCTATATTAATAATCTATAAATTCTGTGAATTACACACTAATTGTTGACTAATTGTGTGATTGAATGCATTTCAGTGGCATATACTTCATAGTGGACGCGATGTGGCGTCAGAGCACTCTTTGCCACTTCGCGGGCTTCCTCTCAACCCTATCGTCCGAGTTCTCGGTCTTCACATTAACTGTCATAACATTAGACCGTTTCGTGACAATTGTGTTTCCACTGAAGTTCAGGAAAATCAAGATGAAAAATGCCTGCATTATAATGAGCTTATTATGGATAGTATGTATAGCTCTGTCAGCCGTGCCATTAGTGGTGCCTCTAATGGATCTCAACTACTTCGACAACTTCTACGGCCGGTCCGGCGTATGTCTGGCCCTTCATATAACTCAGGAGCGGCCCAATGGATGGGAATACTCTGTATTCGTGTTTCTTGTGCTCAACTTTCTGTCGTTCACCACAATAGCCATCGCCTATCTGTGGATGTTTTTCGTGGCAAAAAACACCACAATCGCCGTCAGAACGCCTGAACACAAAATACATAACCGAATGGCGCGAAGAATGATGTTTATAGTGATGACCGACTTCTGGTGTTGGATGCCTATCATCCTATTAGGCATTATCTCCTTCTATGGCGTCAAAATACCGCCACAGGTATGAAAACATCCCATTGTATACACGTGTCGATCGTATAATTCAATTTTCCGCTCCCATTATCCCATTATTGACAACATTTTATTTTGATTATTGAATTGCAATTCTTTGAATTGTGTTAACTGTAAACACTATCTCTATTTATCCGTTTCATAGGCCTTCGCATGGGTCGCAGTGTTTGTATTGCCGCTGAACGCCGCCGTAAATCCCACGTTATATACGCTCTCGACTCTAGTTTACCGAAAGAAGTCCAGTACTCCTCAAACCGTGTCATTAAACCGCAGTTTTAAAGCTCGCAATCATTACAACAATAGCGCTCCCAAACATAACTTCAAGACTAGTTTTATATAACTATATACTCTATCTAATTATAAACAAGTATATTGTCATTTACTGTACATATAGCTTTGTTAAATTGATCTGGGAAATTATTTTCAAAACGAATTTTAATCTAAACACAATAACGAATGTGTCAAATATTTTTTAT